ACTTGACTTTATTCTTACTTAATATGTTTCTGTTTTGCTTCTATGAATGCTTGTATATTATTTGTATGATTTACTCTATATGATTGTTTATTATATTGTACCTATTTGTTTCGATATTATTGCTTATCTTATACTTTATACTATTTAGATTGCTTATATATTACAAGTACTGTATAAAAAGTTCACATAGTTAAATATATTGTATCATAGTATTTGTTTGGACTTTGTTGCGAGTCTGAAATGTGATAGCGATATCTTAGCTGTCACAACTTGTATGTTACATTGTGTCTTTTTTGTTTTACATTCTCCTCTGTTTATGGATATCGTTACATATCTCTGTCCTTGGATTTTTTCTGCATTACTTTTATTTTAATTCCGAGGACGGAATTTATTTTAAGAGGGGTAGGATGTAATGACCGTAAATTTTTAATACCGGTTTAAATAATTTTCCTGGTATTTAAATATAAAATGTTATTTTCTAAAAGAGTATTTCTATTTTCTTCAATTTTCTAGAATTTTCTATGATTTAAAAATCCAATTTTATATTTATTTAATGATTTTGCTAATTATAAATTAAATTGTTACGGTGAAAACTTTTTAAAATTAATATTGATTATTTATATTGTTATTGTTATTATTGTTATTGTTATTAATTATATGTATTAATTTTTAGCTTGCACCATTATCCCCTACCTCTATTTATAGCTATCAGGTGATCAGCACGACAGTCAATCTTTTATCTGGCTTTTCCTCTGGTTCCCTTGTATCAGCTACTCTCTCTCTCTCCAATCAATATCTCTCTTTCCTCTATTATTTCCTCACACACTCTCTCTCCCTTACCCACTCCTTAATTTTCTCCTCATTTCCCGCAATTCCCTCCACGTGTTTCCCCCCAAGATTCCTCTCTCTCTCTCTCCTCTTAATCCCACCATGTGACTCTCTCATCAGCTCACTCTCTCTCTCATTCTCTCTTCATCTCCATCTCAGTCTCTCTCTTCCCCCTCTCTTCATCATCATCACCGACCCCTCTAACTCCTCTCCCTCTCTCTCCGTCTAGTTCACCGCCCTCACCACCGTGGCACCACCCCTCGAGCTCCGCCCTGCGCCGCCGCTCGCCAAGCCCCTGCTCCGCCTGAGAACCACCACGAGCTCCTCCTTCAGCCGCTCCCCCAGATCTGCTTCCGCGCCTCCACCCGACAGCCCCTCGTCGAGCTCGCCTCCTCTTGATTCCCTGACCCTCAGCCGAGCTCCGACGAGCTCCAGCAGCCGCACCTCCTCTTGCACCTCCTCAGACCGTCACCACCAGCCTCACCACGCATCGCTGCCCTCAGCCCGACGCCGAGCTCCAGCACCTCCCTATCGCCGACCAGATCTCCTCGACAGCTGCTGACGTCGAACCACCGCCGCCCAGCTCAGAACTGAGCCCCAACAGCCCCTTAGTCCATGTCGTCGGCGAACCCCCAGCACCACCTGCATCCCCTTCTCGTCCGCCTCTTCCACTTCGATGCCGTCTCTTCAGATCCACGCTGACGAACTCAACCACGCTAAACATCCGTGCCTGAACCAGATCCAAGCCGCTGTCAACGTCGCCTCGATCGCCACACGCCGCGTCCGCATCGGCCCCGCCGCTCGTCATCAGACCTTTTGGTCTCGTAGGCAAGATCCTACTTACTCGGAACTGAATTTTTGTATTTATTATGAATTATCTGTAATTTTAGATCTGATATATTTATCTGCATGGGATTGTTTGATGAATGATATTAGATAAATCATAATAATATGATAATTAGTATTTTTAGAATAATTATGATAAATTAAAAGAATTTTTCAGTAGCAGAATTATTTTTGGATAATTATATTAATAAAAAGGAATTTATTTGAGAACGAAATCATTTTAGGAAAATTATAATAATTTAAAAAAATTATCTTGGGAAAAAGAATCGTTTTAGAATAATTATAATAATTTTTAGAAATTATCTTGTGGAAGAAATCATTTTAAAATGATAAATATTTTAAAAAAAAAATATTTTGGGAAAATAGACTATTTTGAATTAAGGAGAATTTATCTTATAAAAAGATTATTTTTGAATTTATGAATTTATTATTTTAAAAGATTATTTTTAGAATTATTATAATGAGAAAATAACTTATTTTGAAAAAGGGATTATTTTGAAAGAACTCATTTTGTAAAAGGAATTTTTTTAAGTAAATATATTTATTATTTCATAAGATTATTTTAGGACAATTTTATGATTTCTTATTCTTAATTATGTGATATGCCTTGATATTATCGTACATGATCATTCGTATTCGTTATTTCTGGTTGTGATTGAGAACTGTTAGTGGTTATGATCGTAGTAGCCTTACGTAACCTAGAGACATGTATTGTGTTGACTTAGAAAAGCGAGAAGAGTTGGGATGGGGAAGTTAATGTTCATGTGATCGGATAAGACTGTTGATGTATCTTCCAGACTAGAACCAGTGAACCATTTCGCACTGGGGTTAGTTTGTTGGGCCAAGTGAACCGTTTCGCACTTGGTCAGTGAAATCGTTTCGTCACTCGAGTTTTGCTTGAGTTCGGACCAGGCCGAAATCGGATTGCGTGTAGTCCTCTCACCGAACCGTTTCGCGGGTTTGGATGCACGTAGGGGATTTGTGAATAGTCAGTTATCTGGTGATATGAGCGTTGACTCTGTGTGAGATGTGACCAGTGGCCTGCTATAGAATGGCTAGTTACATGACCTTGTTTCTTGGCTAGGTATGATTTCTTGTGAGATACGGACCAGTTATATTTCTTTTCGTACATACATCGGGATTAATATTTAATTATTTACAATTCGAGACATATGGTATATACATAAGGGTTTCCTTGTTTGGATTATTTCGCTCGACGTACTACGTCTCTTGTTGTAGATTTTTAAGTATTAATTCCATCTAGTGTATAACCCTGTACTTGGATGATTAGTCTGATCGCTAGCTGCATGACCTCGTTACCCGATCGATTTTGGATTCTTCTGATTATTATATTCTAGTGGTGGATTTTATTTAGATTATTACTATTATTGTTATTACCATTATTGTGTTGGTCGCACGACCGTTCTATTATTCCTTTTGGGATCTTGCCGTGTGCCATACACGCTGACGTACACATGTTTCCTCTGGTGTACGTCAGATTTATATGATGGTTAGCTTCAGTTCCGAGTCGTACAGGAGCCAGAGGATTTCCCGCAGGAGTGCTCTGCAGACCGAGCAGAAGAAGCTGAAGCTTAGTTATTGGTCCTCCATTTACTTTTGTAGCACCTTCCATTCTGTTGATCGATGTATTTTATATTTTCTAGCATTTCTTTCAGATAGTCTTGTATAAGCGCATGTTGACCCGAATATTATGTCTGGGATGATATTCAGTTGTGATATGTATATTTTCTGTTCTGAGTTGTTTATTATATTCTCGCTACTGTGAACGGGGACCTGTGCCTTCGTTTGTATTTCTTGACGCTTAGCGTATTAGATTGAGCCGACAGGGTCTAGCACTTATCTCTCCTCAGTCTAATACGTCGCGGGCTTGCTCGCATCCTGATTCCCTGGTATTTTGGGAAGCGGGGCGTGACAGAGTGTGTGGTGAGGACGGAGTCGATACCAAGAGGAGTGGCGTTGGTGGCCTAGTGAGAGGTGATAATTCCGAGCACTTGAAGGAGTCGATACGTGAGGACCAACACTTGAGGTTGTAGCTTGTGTATGTACATTGTGAGGATTTGTGAGAGTTGTCGGTTGACTTGATAACCGAGTGTGTAGAGTTTTCAGTTAGGCTGTGTAGAAGAAGTTCCGGCTTCCAAACCGGGTTGGGTAGTGGATTCTCCTCGAGAGTGGGGAGCGGGGACGTAGGACGGAAGGTCCGAACCTCGTGAACATATAGCGTGTTTGGTTTGCATTGGCGCACTTATAACTGTTCATCTTATAGCCTATTGCATCTTGTTTATATTATCCACTAGTTTGTTTCACCCTTGTGATTGTTTCGCCGTTTTGTTGATTTGCGCGCTTCGTCGTTTCGTCGATTCGCGTGTTCCTTTGCTTTCTTTTAGCATCGGATGGTCCTCTTTGACTTAGATGATGACGTTAATCGTCTCCTCTTCGTCTCGAGCTGTGTACGGGAACTTATAGGTAATTTTTAACGCCTACAATACATATGCATATAGCTATACATGCACATACATATACTATCTACTTAAATGGATAGTAGCTCATCTACACATACACATATACGTATATGTGTGTAGATGAGCTACTATCCACTTAAGTAGATAAGAGCTCTTGTTCAACCATTTTTTTAGCCATTGGATTCAATTGATGAGATTAAGATCTGATCCAATAAATTCTATGCTTTAAATATGGAAGGATAGTTTGGTAATATAAAAAACCCCGAAAAGAGAAGTAGAAATAAAAGGAAATGTGATCAAATCTATCACCGTATCTCTCTCATTCTCTCTGTTACGCCCGGGAAAAATCGCGGCCTCCTTCATTTAACCGGCAGCTCTCAT